GGGGGGGGGGGGGGGGGGGGGGGGGGGGGGGGGGGGGGGGGGGGGGGGGGGGGGGGGGGGGGGGGGGGGGGGGGGGGGGGGGGGGGGGGGGGGGGGGCGAAAACGTCAAACCTTGAGGAAGGCGACGGTGACAGGCAGCGCACCAAGCGTGAGCGCCCCCCCGCGACGTCGAGACGTGTGATTATTGTATTCAGGCGCGCGGTGCTTGCTCACGGAGGTAAAGACACGGCCAAACGAACGCTGCACCTCTGACCTCCTTCCACTCCGGCTCGTGGTACCACGGGAACGTGTACACCCTCTTGAGGAAGTCGTCGCAGAAGACGAGGACGATCTTCGAGATACCCCACTTGTCGTGCGCCGGGCGTGCCATCTTCACGTTGGTGCGGTCGTGCTCCTGCACAAAGCAAACGCATACAACAAGAGGCTTGTACTGACGTGAACGTATGCCGCAGTCGTCAAAGCTCGCATCCCGACAATGCCAGGACGATATGCCGGGTTTTCGCCGGCCCAGGCTATGGTTCATAAGAATGGACCAGAGCAGGGCGTACTCATGTTTTGCATGCCTAACTTGTTGACCACACGTCTTCGAGAAGATGGAGCATTTTTCAAACAGGACCGATGGCCAATCGCTCCTTCCTACTTTGCCAAAGGTGGAGGGTGGGGGGGTGAGAGGGAGGAAGGAGGAGGCGACGGCCGCAGGACTTGGGACGGCCGTGCGATCTGACAAGAAAGCATGTTTACAAAGCACGCATTTCATTTGTTGGGGATAATTCCAACAAAGGTAAAACGAAATTTGGCGGCACGAATGCTGTAATTCCGAGTGAGTGCAGGTGACACCCGTTTGATGTCAAGGCAACGCCCCTCAGCCATGACAAACACGACAACACAATCAGGAAGCAAACAATGAGAGCTTTTAACAGGAGCAGCTGGCTTGCCATTAAAACTTCCCGCGGGTCGTTGTTGAGGTAGCAGCAGGGCCACTTGGCCTCTTGCAGCTCGCGGACACAAAACACCTCTTCTTCGCGCAAGCCTTTCTCCAAAAGACTACCCTTCTTATGCCCCCCGCGCGATACGAGATCTTCCTCCTGTCCCGCATCCAATGCAGACACGGGCTCCATCCAGTACCTCACCAACAAACACAAGGGAACTTCAACCATCAATTAAGATTGCCAGAACTATTATCCATGAACAGGTATGAATTCGTTGATAGAGCAACAGCAAAGCAGTGACACAGGGAGGGCAAGACACCCACCTCGTCCGTCCAGATGGAAGCTCCCCTGCTCGACAGCAGCCGCTTCAAGAGGGACAAGTCCGCCCTGCCTCGCGTGAACACCAATGGCCGAGCTTCGGGGTCCAGCTGCTCCTCTGCCACCTTTTTTGGTTTTTACATTTTTATCCGAGCGAACGAGGTTGCTAACCTGGCCTGAGGTCTCGCCGCAATATAGCGCCCCAAAAAAAAAGTTTGTCACATCTGTTCGCTTTATCTAGGTTTCAGAGCGAATCACTTGATTGTAAAGAGGGGTTAGCACATCTTTTTACTTTCGGAGCACACAGCAGATTGCAGCTGCAGAACACACGCACAGGCACACACGCAAAGCAGACAACACATACACGCACAGCGGGCCCAGCGACACACGCATAGCGGGCCCAGCGGATAGAACAGCGGAAAAAAGCCGCGTTCTGGTCGTTGGTTGTCCAAACCGATTCATTGCATGGTGCTCTCGTCTTGAATGCCGCTGTTGAACCGTGGGTATTTTTTGTACCACCTATGACAAATACGGAAACAGTAGAATGAGGACAGCAGCAGCCCCAAGGCCTCCAACGCGCTGATTCCTTCGGTTCGGCTGTCTATATGACCCTCACTCCCGGCGCTGTGCTGCTTCGTGGGTATTGGGGTCTCGGGTGTTGCTCTAGTGTAAGAGATGTGTACCACCTCGCCAAACTGCCGTTTGAAATAATGCAGTGAGATGGCCTGTTTTGGCCTTTTATGGGTCGGAGATCGAAGACAGCCCCCAAAACCCACGGCACCACGCAGCAGTAGGGCAATAGGGCCTCCGACACGCTAATTATTTCGGATTGGTCATACATTTGATACTGACCCTCAGCGCCACCGCCTCTCTATGATTGTTGAGTTCATCTACCTTTCGACAGGGCGCAGTATAAAAAGGGGGTCGCACTTGGGTCACCATGGGAAAAATGAGCGAAAGGACTTGAGTAAATCGCAGGCGACACCCACTTTGTGACACTGCTCCCTGCCCCCAGTGCCGAAAACAGCAAGCCGGGTGGACAGGGTTTTTGCAAGTGGACTGTCCTCTGTGTCGGTGCTCATTTTTGTGTTTGTACCACCGCTCTATGGTGAGCAAAGCCAACTTGACGTGTTGTGTGTCAAGCAAGGCGTGTATTCAGCGATGGGAAACATTTCTTTGGGCCAATTTCGTATTTACTGATGGGGGAATTTTTGTCGCCTAAATCGATTCGTTTTTGGCGGGGATGGATAGGAATGCGCCTCAATATCACGCACTTCCGCCCGTAGATGCACACGTCTGACGACAGTTACATCTATCAGTTAGCTCGCTGTAGCGACAGCTATCCTATCTTCAAGTGCGTTCGGTGAAAAAAAAAGGTCCACGATCCGTCGTCGTTAACGCCCGACGGTAGATGCTAGACTATGTTGTGGGTCTTGATCCGAGTGCCACTTCAACCGGGCAAGGGTTCATGGATGCTGGAGAGGTTCTCCGTGGTGGAATGAAGCGTTTAGAAATGAATAAGTACCTCGGAAAATACGTCTTGTTTATGCGGGGGGTGTACAGCTGCAAGTTAACGGGCAGGGGAGCACCTCAAAAACGTGCCGCAGCAATTAGCCAATCGTTGTCCTCTCAGACAAAGATGTGTCCAAAAACATACATTAACCGAAAGTTGAGGATGATATCACACCGCCTGGCCCGATTTTTGAAGCTCGATTACTCGGCAGGAAAAGCGGTGACGGTGCCGAAAATGGCGGCGTTCGAACCGTCTCGTCGAGCGCTTTCCGAAACCATATCGTTTGCCTTCGGCACTCTCTTGGTCGTGGAGTAATCGAGCTGTGAAAATCGGTCAAGGGGTGTGGAATCTTACGCAATCTTGTAGCCGGATCGGATGCCATCGCTTGATCTCTACTCCTAATAAGGAAATGTTTGGGGCAGCGACACCTCTATGAGTGCAACTGCAACGCTCCCACTAGCACTCTTGTGGACTCTCGAGCCCCTCCCAAAGCAATAGGGGCATAGTGACGGGAGAACGCGTGGTACGGGTGGAGAAGGTCTGTTCAAGAGGTACGACCACACACGGACAAAATGCGGTGAAACTAACTCCACCGGATTTTGCTCACCTGCTCAATCACCGGGGTTGCTTTGTCCTTGAGCTTCACCTGGCCACTTGGTGGCACGAGGATCTCCCCGCCCACATTATGAGGCGCGGCTGGTACCATCGCTTCCATCACCGTGCGTGCTTGTTGTTTGTCTGTTGTCTTTCCCAGAGCTGCCCGCTGTCCAGCGGGCGAGCGCAAGCGGCGAGTTCGGGAAAAGGAGTTATAAGTTCGAGATGGATTATGGTTTGCAAGGAGAGGGGCAATTTGATATGACACGCGGAGCCCCCCAGCGCCACTTGTTGTGTCGGCTATTCTCCGAAACACAACCCAGAAGCTCGGTGGCTGGCGCTGCGTGAGTGCGGGGTGGACACTGCCTCGTGCGCAGAAGGCTAGAACCGAGATGGTTGATCTTTGCAACGCTGAGCGTCTAGGATGGGCGGTCCTGACAATCCTAACGGCCTTTGTCGCAGCAACCCCTAGGTAAGTGTATACAGCAGCTCGCGACGGCTCGCATGTTTTGCGGCTGCCTCACGTGTTGAAAGCGGGGCGTGTGAAGCGGGCGGGTGTGACGTTGGGTGCCTACACCACAGCCGACACGCTGATGGTGCCCTGGGTCGCCCGTAGAGATCCTCTAGCCGCCAATATAATGTCTCACATTTATCGATTTCAGGATACCGAGAATCTCTCCGCGTTTTGGCACCTGTATAGCGTGGAGGAATGAGGATCTCAAGTTCCACTACGTGTGATATTGTTGTCGAGTCCTGTTCCAAGAACGACAGTGCGCGGTAGCAGCAGTAGGATACCGCCTGTGTGCGTGTCGTTGCAGCTACGCTTTGTCCTGACTTGCCCCATTGGCAGGGCTACCATTTTGCCGCTCGCATCGATGCCTTGCGTGCGGCGAACAACAGCGTTGCTACGAAGGAACATGTATTGAATACCTGGTCCCAGCCGAACCCCGGCATAGTGATGGGATTCTCAGCTGCCACAGCAGTCAAGCAGAGAAGCTGGGGTTACCAGCGCACCCATCATCCCGTCAGTCGGGGGCCTCGGCCTAAAGCTCCGAGAAAAAACCTTCCCACCATTTGCATGTATTCCCGCGTTCTCACCCCACCCGCACGTCCCCGACTTCGCGACCAAACCCATCATGCAAGCAGGTTGTACTCAATTTTTCTGCACGGCAAGCTCCGGCCCGGGGCTTCTACGACCTCGGGAGCGGGCTTCCCCCTGAGGTGGCTCAAGGTCGAGGTGCCCAAGCGCTTGTTCTCCCACTTCTACTTCTTCGGCCTTGTGTCGAGCGCGCTCGTCTTCATCGACACGATCTTTTACGGCGGTTCTCTCTTCGTAGGGAGCGTCCAGGTGCGCCATTGAAGCAAGCCCCACCTACAATCAGCGAAACACATTTGAGAGGAGGGGGGTGTACTCACATAAGCGCATGCCGTACAATAGTCGTTAGACCTTGCTTTGCGATAGTGCCGGGACGGAGGAGCGATTTCGCCCGGTCCAGGCTACGGTTCACCAGGATGAACCAGAAGCTGGTCATCCTCCCTGCGTTTTATGCTGTGCCAAACCAGACATGCCGTTTGAGAAGAGCGGTGGAGAGGTTGTGGAAGCCTGTGTTCGGTTTGCTGCGGTTGGTTTTAGTCGAGGGCACTGTACGTGGAAGAGAAATCCTCCACTCTCGATCGCCCGATGGTACCGCAGAGAGCGTCTCGAAACCATTCACCCAGTCTTGCAAGTAGGGTTGTACCCCGGTTGGGTCAGAACCGGCTACCCGCCACCGGGTACCCGGTTATGGGAATACTACAACGCTACTAGGGGTCCGTATGTGTTTGGCGGGCGAACTTTGAGGGGTGAGAAAAGCCCCCCCAAAGGGTTTGTCGTCCGTTAATGATTTTTCTCTATGTCGGTTATGCTACTCTCGGTATGAGGTCTTATCCACTCCGTACATCGCGCAAGGCATGGTGAGAAATCGAGAAGCACGGCGTTTGGCTCGATGTCACACCGCCCTTGGGTTGCGAGGTACCCCAAGGCAGATATTGTCTCGGGTA